GGAACTGTGTTCCGATCTCTTGGTGAATATGACAAAGCTAAAAAATATCTTGAGAAAGCACTTGCCATGAAAATACAAATCGGCGACAAAGAGGGAGAAGCAGCAAGTTACGGAAACTTAGGAACTGTGTTTCAATCTCTTGGTGAATATGACAAAGCTAAAGATTATCTTGAGAAAGCACTTGCCATCGGATTACAAATTGGTGACAAGAAGGGAGAAGCAGCAGACTACGGAAACTTAGGAACTGTGTTCCTATCTCTTGGTGAATATGACAAAGCTAAAGAACATATTGAGAAAGCACTGGCCATCAGATTACAAATTGGTGACAAAAAGGGAGTAGCAGCAGATTACGGAAACTTCGGAACTGTGTTCCGATCTGTTGGTGAATATGACAAAGCTAAAAAATATCTTGAGAAAGCACTTACCATGACAATACAAATCGGCAACAAAGAGGGAGAAGCAGCAAGTTACGGAAACTTAGGAACTGTGTTTAAATCTCTTGGTTAATATGACAAAGCTAAAGAACATTTTGAAAAAGCACTTGCCATCAGAATACAAATTGGTGACAAGGAGGGAGAAGCAGCAGATTACGGAAACTTAGGAACTGTGTTTCAATCTCTTGGTGAATATGACAAAGCTAAAAAATATCTTGAGAAAGCACTTGCCATCAGATTACAAATTGGTGACAAAAAGGGAGTAGCAGCAGGTTACGGAAACTTAGAAGCTCTGTTCCTATCTCTTGGTAAATATGACAAAGCTAAAGATTATCTTGAGAAAGCACTTGCCATTAGAATTCAAATTGGTGACAAAGAAGGAGAAGCACTAGATTACGGAAACTTAGGAGCATTGTATCAATCTGTTGGTGAATATGTCATGGCTGAAGATTATATTGAGAGGGCACTGTCAATTACTCGAGACATCGAGGACTTAGACAAAGAGTTTCANGTGAATATGACAAAGCTAAAGATTATCTTGAGAAAGCACTTGCCATCAGATTACAAATTGGTGACAAAAATGGAGAGGCAGCAGATTACGGAAACTTAGGAACTGTCTTCCTATCTCTTGGTGAATATGAGAATGCTAAAGATTATCTTGAGAAAGCACTTGCCATCAAATTACAAATTGGTGACAAGAAGGGAGAAGCAGCAGATTACGGAAACTTAGGAACTGTGTTCCTATCTCTTGGTGAATATGACAAAGCTAAAAAATATC